AAAAAAAAAAAAACAAGTAGGCATCCGCGACCCGACTGGACGACTACCTTGGTACGATAGTACAGATGGTGGAAATGTCGAGTTGTCAGCCAGAACGTTGAGAATGTTCGATTACACGTCAAAACTAGGCAGTGTGCGATATGTACAGGTGTAGTCCGTGTACGCTGCCGCCGTTGAGTCCAGCTGTTCGCAGCCGACAGCGCCAATTTATCGTTTTTATCTCGGAGACCAACAAGGCAGCCAACTTCTCGCTTTATAAATTCTATTTAGAAGCGGTGCTGAACTAATCACTGGGCATACTGAGGCTCTGAGCTGCGGTCACTTTGTAGACGAGGTCTTCCAACATCTTTTACGATCAACTCTGTATCGTTTTCCTCAACGCGCTCTAAACCGACACAGTCGAGGACGACCACGACAAGCACTTCAACATCAGTGCTGCCCATCCATTTACGATACACGCCGCTGCGTCTGCTTACTAGGTACTATATCAGGCGTATCGCTAAACTGAGCACGTCGCTTGTGCATAACTTGATCGTCCCCGCGAACTACCACCCGTATGATACCACTGAAGCAACGCCATTGCGCCTAGTCCGTTTGATACTAATCTGCACAGGTAGAACTGTTTGTCGGCTTCTTCGTGAACGAATGCCTGGGGACACGAATTGGGCATTCGGACGAGATCAGTCCCATCGCTGCGTTCTTCACGAGTGGCCAGGACAACAGCCAGGTGATTTTGGTGAACGGAGTGAGTGGAAACGTCTAATATATCTCCAGGGGTATATCGTGCAATCAGGACATCTGGGGTGCTGTGGACACCGCGTTCTAGTGTACTCGTGGCATGAGTCGATCCATCTGCGGTCGATTTGGGGATTTGTCTGGCTTTCGAATTTTACGCTGCTGTGGAAGCTTGTAGAGTGTTGACAGCTGAAAATCTGAAAATCGTTTTTACATTGACTCGACTACATATTGGGTGCGTGTTCTGCCCAACCTACATCACGTCCGACCTCTCCTGTGAAAATCTTCGTGCATAAGTTCTCAGCTCAGGCTCACTATTGGCCTCTGCTCATTGCAAGATCACGCAGTCTCGTTGGATGGGGGGTTTGATTACATATTCCGGTACTAAGTCTTATGTAAAGCTAGTCAAGAGCTGGTTAGAATAATTCACACGAAGCGTCCCAGGCCTTTGACGAGTACGAATAATCTTGGCGAACTTGCAGGCATTTTGATTGGTTGAATAGCCTCGTACCCAAGATACGTCTTCGACGATGTTGAAGATTACAAACAGCGCACCGAATCGACTATAACAATTCGGAGGCTGGGCTAAGTTTCACCACCACTCTTGACTTGGTAAGTGACATACCGTCTAAGCTGCGCGAGTCATATAGGAATTGACCTGGTCAATATCCTCCCCGTTTAGCCTATCGTGTCCATTGTATGATGCATCTTCTTCAATCTCGAAAGCTTCGGAATCTTGATTCCCATGATCCAGCGTTGATCCCATGTTCCCCACGACTTGTGCAGCAAATCTTACATCAGATATGACGGACGTCTCTAGACCGAGTCCATTCCCATGAACCTCTTCGCGGAGATTGAGATATAATCGAGACAGTAGAATGAAAACTAAACTAATAGCAGTGTGGGTCAGCCCGATGGTAACTTAAAGGTGAGCTTGTCCGTACGAATCCGTGACATAGCTGATGTCCGTAAAAGTCTGGAAAAGATGCGTTCGAACTCATCGCAGTGGGTTGACAAAATTTGGACCACCTACGTTGGTTGACCACATGATGAGCAATATTGAATATAAGAAGAACGCTGCCAATGAGCCCTCAGTGGACTGTAATTTATGGGGCCAGCCTTAACGCGTACAGAAAATAAATGGATCCTGCATATAAGACCTTAATCAGGCTGAACAACTTCATTCAGATAAAAAGGGAAGGCTTGCCATCTCTCCAGATAAGCCTTAATACTGGGGTTTTGCTGCATTTTGTAAATCGGACAATATCATAAGTTGCACGCCAAGTGATGACCAGTATCAGCATATCAGACACTATCATGGATATCCTGGTAGCTATGACATCTAAATGTGTGAGAGTGAACGTTACATCATTGAATCGACCGGTTAACAAAACAGTCACATCTATAATAAAGAAGTAACGTGTCAAAAATCGTCGCAGGGAAAGTCATATTTGGTACACACTTCAACTGAACAGAGAGCGAGAGATAACTGTACTCATTTACACCACGAGAATCGTTGCAATATTCATCCATGTAGTTATACTAGTACATAATTGATCAGTAGTGCCGAAGATATGGGTCCTTTGAGCTCACGATATTAGTGCCAGCCGGTACTGCTCCGAGTATCAAAACGACCAGGGATAAGACACGGTGTCCCCCACTAAGTGCAGATGCCCGTAATGCATGAAAGCCTAGAGATGGCAACTAGTTGAACGCAAACCGGCTTTAAAGAAGGCAGGGCTCACCCGCTCGCGCAATAAATAATATCGCAACTATCACATTTCGTAAGATGATCAACAACCTGTGCATATCATAATCCGAGGCCAAGTCATCTATCCAAACCGCCGACCATACCTGAAATTGTTACATGTCTGGATTCTTGACAAAATCAGATAATGCATTAAACTTGCACCTGACATTTTACGATTTAGAATGAAGCAGTGGACAATCAGACAGATCGCGTTCATCGCGGTGTACGCAATCAGATGGAAGAGATGTGCACGCTGAGCAGGCAGATGGCCCCGGGCAGTATAGATTTGGCGTTAATTGCACGAATAGAGCTCTATTCTCCGATACCGTCTAGGCTCGTTCACGAGATGGATTACTCTTGCGATTCGGACCCCACCAATACATCTGAGGATCAAGACGAGGAATATAAGACAAACATCGCCAGTGGGGTCGATTTTGACTCGGTTTGGGGGATTTTTCATGGCACCATATTCTTATCTTGTGTAGATTATGAATTTAGCTAGGATGTGGTTTTGAAAGCTATTGCATCGACGAGGAGGAGGGGGAGGAAGAGGGAGAGGAGTATAAATTAGCAAAGATCGGTGTAGCGACTTGGAGTACTTACGCCTAGCACGGGCCCGAGTGGCCGGGCTAGACAAGTCCGAACTTGACACAAGTTGCAGTGGCGTTTGTGCTTCGCTTAGTCTCAAAATTCTCAGTAGTCAGAACTACATACTGCAGTCTCCTATAGTGAACAGAGTATTCCCGCTCTCCCTTTCGCTACGTGGCTATGAGGATTGATTACTGCCTGACAAGGGAAAATGTTGGTGGTGGCACGTAATCGCTGCTACGCACCTCCTCAAGCTCCTCCAGGCTCCTCCTGGTCTATTCGATATCAATCTGTACAAGTGAAACTGCTCATCAACTTCGTGAATCACGGTGAATGGACACCCGGCGAGGCGCATTGGGCGTCTGGACGACATCAGTCGCATCGTTGCGTTCCTCGTGAGGTCAACAGTCTGGTGATCTCGATGAACGGGGTGAGTGTGGCGTGTATTATCTAGCATGCCCTGGAAACCGACGTCGGGTGTATCCAAGGATAAGTATCTGGTGTACGGCAACGCGTGTTCAGTTCACTTCTTCCGGATCTGCGGTCGATTTGTTACCCGACATCTTGTCGAAATGTTCTGTCGCCATTCCAATTCATAGACGCACCGCATGTATCTAAGCTTTGAGGGCAAGTCGCGCCTGGTCCTTCCCGTTCAACACGCGGCACAGCCAACATCGCCGCTCAGCTCGTCTCTTTCGGCTTCAAAGGTCGTAGAATCTTCAACTCTGTGATCTAGAGTTGACCCTATGTTACCTACGACTCGTGCGGCGAACCCCACACTGAGCGTGACGGAGATGTCCGTTGAATGCCCATTCCCGCGAGCCTCATCACGGAGCTTAGGAAAAAACCGAGATATCAAGATGGGAACCAAGCTAGAAGCTGCGCAAGCCAGCCTCCCGATGACTCAATGAAGACATGAGTGTCGATACGATTGTGTGATGAGGCTGATGTTCTTGGAACTCTGCAAAAGTGTCACTAAAGTATTTCTCGTCCCAGTGGTATCACAAATCAGGAGCACCCCCGTTGGCTGACCTCGTGACGGTTTCGGCAACATTGAGTATAGAGTGCAAGTGGTTCAACAGGGCGACCCGGTCAATGCGAACACGAAATGGACGAAACCTGGTATCGAGATCATGAGGCTCGACACAGTGATCCGGCTGTAGAAAACACAGCTTGCCACCGCTCCAGCTAAGTACCAGTGCTGCTGCGATTAACAGAGGACACGATGCTGTGGGTTGCGCGTTGGCAAGTGGTGATCACAAATTGAACAGAACAAGTAGCCCGTCATCGTCTAACATGCACCAGATGCATGCATGTTTACCAAGCTGCCGCTCAGAGATGCTCTGAAGTCCGGTCGGATGTCAGTCATATTTGGAACCTCTTGAAGCGAACTGTTCGAAGGACTTTTGAAATCCTCGTCGTCGCAACCCAGGATCTGGAGGGATAACCGGCAACTAGTAAGCGGTCAAACGGTTGCCGGAGAGCGGACTTACTAATATTGCTTCCACTGGCCCACTTACCAAGCTCTCGATGACCGAGGCCTCAGCGACTATTCTTACCAGTAAGCGCTCCGTCTTGCGCGCCATGACGTGTAATGCACAACCTCCGCATTGATTGCACGGAGGTGCACGGCGTTTGTGTGATTTCCACGATCCGAGCGTGGATGAGTGATTGCTATCTGACAAAACGTCCTTCCTCGCACTGATCAGCAAATGTGTTGTCCACCATCTCAGAATGGACGACTGCAGCCGCTTCTAGAGAAACATGAGGCGGAACATCAAAGTTAGAACGCCGCACAGTACGCGTCGCCCTCCGAGTCTGACATACGGGGAGTATACGACAGAGTCCGTTGCTGGAAGGTCCCACAAGCAATGACTTCCATAGTGGAATTTGTATCGCTGTGTAAGTGCAGGCTCAACCAAGTTCGTTCTTCTGGCAGAGAGGAGGGGGCAGAATCTTCTGGCGGATCATGCCATGCCCACCGATCGGCGCGGGTATGGGCACGGGCACGGGCAAAACGGTTAGGACACCTCGTGCGAAGATGCAGGAGAGGGTGAACATATAAAAGCAGGGGGAGGCGAAGACAGCGATTAGCATCTCCCACCCAGACCACCATTACATTACCACACCATGGCAGACGCAAACTTCGACATCAATCGCCCCGCGCCGAACGTCCCGTTCTACACACCTGCGCAGAACCCCCCTGCGGGCACGGCGATCGACCCGCAGCCCGACGGCCGACCGATCCCCAAGCTATTCCAGCCACTCCGGATCCGTGGTGTCGAGTTCCAGAACCGCATCTTCGTAAGTGCACCTTGTCCACTGCGCCAAAGACACTATCGTGAACAGACCGCATGGGCAGCTAGCGCCGCTATGCCAGTACTCCGCAGAGAATGGGTTCCCCGGCCCCTGGCACACCGCACACTGTAAGCTCCCGCAAGTTCTCCTCCAGCGCGCAGTCATGCTCACGTCCGCCCCGCACGACAGTGGGCGGCATCTTCACGCGCGGCCCGGGGCTGACGTTCGTCGAGGCGACGGCGGTCCTCCCCGAGGGCCGCATCACCCCGCAGGACACCGGGCTGTGGTCCGACGCGCACGTCGCGCCGTGGCAGGAGATCGTTGCGTTCGCGCACTCGCAGGGCCAGAAGATCGGCATCCAGCTCGCGCACGCGGGGCGCAAAGCGTCCACCGTCGCGCCGTGGATCGCCAACCGCAGCGCGCCCGTGCTCGACGGCGGCTGGCCGGACGACGTGTGGGCGCCGAGCGCGGTGCCGTACAGCGAGCAGTACCCGCAGCCGCAGACGCTGACCACGGCGGGGATCAAGCGCGTCGTGCGCGCGTTTGTGGACGCGGCGCGG